TAAGAATATAGCAAATACTTTTTTCAAGGGGAAATTAAACTAACTTAACCTATTTATTTTTTAAAAATTTGTGAAAACATATATACTGTCGCAGCCATCATTTGTATTCATCTGTTTAACAATTATGCATAGGAAATGTCAAAAATAATTACCTCTTTGCCTGAGCCTTGGAAAGTTTGGTTAATGTTTTCAGTTAGCAAAATATTTCAAATTTTTCTTAGAAAACGGAAGTTACTTCGAGTTAGGGAGATCTTTTACCGATGAAGTGCTGTTACGGAGGTACTCTTCAGTGCACTCAGAGCGAACAAGGTACAATCAAAATGGCGCAGTTTATCAATTTTTGGAAGTCAATCAATGCATTCAATACGGAATATTTGGCCTACTAAAATTGAAAATCTATAAATATTATATGCGAAATCGTCTCACAGCGGTCATTCTTTCTCAAAGCCTCATCAACTCGTAATCGGCGCACTTTGTTATTTATTCGATTTTCAGCTTTGAGTTCTTTAATGTTTAACTGAAAATCTAAATCGGTTTCGCAGTATTCAACTCAACTGGTGAAGCAACTTGCTGTCCATTTTTGATGCAGATAATGTATGTTGCACAGGTGTTTGCATTGCAAGGGCTGCCCTACTGGAATTAATACGCAAGCTGCGACGGTCATACTTTTTGTTTGTGTTCAAGTCTCTGGAATTGGAATTGCAAATGCGTTTGCCAGGCGGGAAAATGAACGTTATACATGCGCAAAATTCTTGCAATATAACTTTCTCAAGATAAACTATCTTACCTTCATCAGCTAAACCAGAAGGCTGTCTAACAGACTGAAATAAATGTTAGCTTCTCCACAAGACATCATTCTGAGGATTACCGTGTTATTTTATAGGCTGCATTGTGTGACTTACTGTCATAACCCTCCTTAAGCATGACATTCGTAAGAGAAAGACTTTTATGACTAGCAAATTTCATAAAACTTTAGAAAGTGTTTATGTCAAAATGTTATTTGTCTCTAGATAGCGACTAGAAAAACGGCGTTATTACTGCTATTGTATGCGAGTAAAGGAATTTTCACTGTTCCAATACAGGATTGTTATGCTTACATGAGTGCTACGATCGCCTACTGTCTGTCACTCCATCATACGCCTAGTATCAGGTGTCATGGACTACTCCTCCACAAAAACATCCCCGCTTAATATATATTGCTTTTTTCCCATTTTCGTCTTACACTGTTCTGTAATAACAGACTATATAGATATTTTCTCTCTATTAGAAAGAACGAAGTGCAGAACGGCCTTCGGCTACTCT